AGCAACTGACTTGTGCCGGGGCCAGTAGTTCAGCCCTCCAACAGTCTGAGGGACAGTGAACTGGCCCCCTGTTTAAAAAGTTTGAGGACTTCTGAACTAGAATAAAGCATGTGGATTAGATAACAATTCTCTATGCTCATTTCCTTATTTTGATTACCATACTGAACTTATGAAAGAATGTTCTCAAAAAACGACAAAGGCTGAGCTACAAACAAAATTGGAACCTCTGACCTATGTGTGGTCAAGTTTCTCCAGTATTACCTTAATGAGCAAGGAGATCAGGTCTACATACTCAAGAAATTTGACCCTATGGGACAACAGACCCACTCAGCCCTCCTGGCTTGGTTCTCCCCAGAGACAAAAACTCAGGCACCGAATTACTATCAAGAAGCACTTCAAGGTGCTCATGAGCTGCACCCTATCCTCTGAGGGTCCCATAAATTTCATTTTCTTCTGTCACCTGCTACCCCTCAGAGACTCCATAACCAAACCCTTCAAGACACTTCTCAGTTTTCTCACTCCCAATCCCTGGTATATAGTAGTACCAGGTCAGGTAGTACTATATACTAAACTGAAGGGCAGAGGTAATGCTAGGATATACTCATATAACTATGCACTATAACCAATGCATAGTGAGTGAGGACAGGCAGAATCATCAAGAGATTTATATCTGGTTGTATATAGATAAGGTAAACTGTAGCTCTGTTCACATTCATACACTCCCTCTATTAGGCTTGGACATGTGATAGCATTAGGCAATGGAATGCAACTGGACACAATACATGTCACATCCAAACAGAAACTTTAAAATCACTCAGGTGATCTGTCTTGGTCTCTTGTGTACCTGTTGTTAGCCTCAGAAAGAGGGAAAAAATGACTGACATTTGTTTATGGTAGCAAAAGCAGGTTAATTCAATTTCCATTGCAATATCACTTGTCTGGTAAGTACAGACCTTATAGTTCATCAACTGCTTCTAGAATGAGGTCAGAAATGGTGACATAAACTTGAAATAGCAGGGGCAGGAAATGCTAAAGAATCACAGAAAATGTTATCTTACCTTCATCTCTTGGCTAGACTTCTATTAAGTCTTCTTTCACTCCCCATTCTTTTTTTTTTTTTTTTTTTTTTTTGAGACAGAGCCTCAGGCTGTTGCCCTGGGTAGAGTGCCATAGCATCACGGCTCACAGCAATCTCCAACTCCTGGACTCAAGGGAGTCTCCTGCCTCCGCCTCCCAAGTAGCCTCCGCCTGGGACTACAGGCGCCTGCCACAATGCAGGGCTATTTTTTGGTTGTAGCTGTCATTGTTGTTTGGCAGGCTGGGCTGGATTCGAACCCGACAGCTCAGGTGGATGTGGCTGGCGCCTTAGCCTCTTGAGCCACAGGTGCCGAGCCTCTCTCCCCATTCTTTGGGGAGGATAGATCACTATGTTTTTGTGTTCACTTATTAGATAATTATTTAAAAATATAAATAACATTATTTATCATATTATTGCCTGCCCAATCATGAAGGGGTTTTGTAGAACATAATATGGAATTTGAGTTTCATGGAGAAAACAAACAACAAAACCTCCAAGAAATAGAAAAAATTAAAAATGAAAACCGTATCATGTTAGGTCCAGTTTCCACAGTCAAGTAATTACCCTAAATCTCAGTGAGTGTTAAGTATACTATACTATAGCACAAAATAACATTTAATGCCAAAAGTAATGGCACTATCATTAAAAAAAATTTATGTGCTAGGTGGTATATACCTATAATCCCAGCACTTTGGGAGGCTCAGGCAGGACAATCACTTGAGGCCAAGAGTTGAAGACCAGGCCGGGCAATGTGCTAACAGCCCATTTCAACAAAAGAAAATGTAAAGGTATAGAGGTACATGCCTACAGTCCTAGCTAATCTGGGGGCTGAAGTGGGAGGATTGATTGAGCGTGGGAGTTTAAGGTTGCAGTGAGTTATAATTATGCCACTACACTACAGCCTAGGTGGCATAGCAAGACTCTGCCTGAAAGAAAATTAAACTATCACTTAAATATGCTTAATTTACAGTAACAGTGAAGAATATAACCCATTTAAGTAAGATTTATCTTTAAGATATCTCTACTCGGCTCGGCGCCTGTGGCTCAAGTGGCTAGGGAGCCAGCCACATACACCTAAGGTGGTGGGTTTGAATCCAGCCCGGGCCCGCCAAATAACAATGACGGCTGCAACCAAAAAA